CTTTACTTTTAAATATTTTTAGGCAATCGACTGATGTTTTTACCGTGGCAAAATAAAGAAGCTTCCTTCCTTCCTTCCTTCCTTCCTTCCTTCCCATGGATTTGATCGATTTTGGGCCATTTTCACACCTTTTGAAAAAATATGCATTATTTATGAGGGATGCAAACTGATAGGTGATTTTAAGCCATTTTCAGGCAAAAAGCATGGACTATAGCCCATGGTTTTGATCGATTTTGGACGATTTTCACACCTTGTAATATATTTTTCTTTACTTAAGGTAGTATGCAAAACATAGATTTTTAAGAAGAAATGTATTTTTTTCTTTTATTGATAGCATTTAGGAATGTTTTTTGATCCATTTTTTGTGCATGCTATTCTCTGTTTTCTTTCCCCACTGTATTGAACTATGTGGTTATAACATTCATTGAGGGAGACACAGAATTAAGCTTTTATTCCCAAGTGGGTTTTGGCGTGAGTGATCAGTTATTCCATTGCTCAGTTTTTTCACCTATTTTCATTTGTAAATGTTTCTATTTCCAATGCATTTTACAAACGTTCCAAACTTAAAGTGCCTATCACCCTTATGACAATATTAACAGTATTGATTCTTCATGGGGTAAGAAGTTAAATAACCCGAAAAAATTTTAGTTTGAGTGCGGCTTCTTGAAGTTATAAAGCCGGTTTTTCCTTGTCATATGCTAATACTGTGACGTATGAGGAGGCATTCATGGTTATTTGTTGTTCCTCGTTATTCGAAACACCGGCTTCTATGGGAAAACTAACTTGCAATAATTTCTATGAGAGCAATGGGAAAAACAATGACGCATTCCAAATTTTATTTATGTGTGCCAGTAATGTTTTGTATATTAAATGATTACTCCTCATACGTCACAGCATTAGCATATGGCGTGGAAAAACCTTCATAACTTCAAGAAGCCGCACTCAAACTATGTAATTTTATCGGGTTATTCAACATCTTACCCCATGTAGAATCAATACTGAGAATATCGTCAGAAGGGTGATAGGCACTTTAAAACTAATTTTTTTACATTGGCCTTAAAAAATTATTTTTAATTACATAAGCATTGAAAACTATAGTATCTAACTCTAAAACTATAATTTTTTACTTTGTTTCTCTTCACTGCCAATACTTAACGTTTTACTCGAAGTGATAACTAGCTAAAAACTAGTGTGAACTGCGTCGGTGTTTCTAATGAAACAGTTATGATAAAAGGGTAAAACGTCAGCAAGCTCTTTCATCTTTTCACGGTGTAAAATTTACCCTTTTATCATTACTTTTACTTGTTATTTACAATTTTTTTTACCGTCGTTAACATGAACTTTTTTTCCTGAAATGTTTTTCCAAAGTTTTTCTAAGTTTCTTCACCAAAGGTCTTTAAAATAGATAATTTTATCTTATTCTCTTATCTTTCCTTTTTCTCCAACCCTTTCTTTGTACATAATTTATCATTCAATCCTCATATTCTTTCCTCTATTATATTGCGAATGATGTATCATATATTCTCGTCTTTTGAAGTAGTAAAATTTTGTGCTTTTTTAAACGAAAGTCTTTCTCCTTCCTAAACATTTTTTCGTTCCGTTTTAGATTCTACATTCCTGAAATGCGGTCCAAGACTTCACAGGCATCTTGTCTTCCTATCTTTTGTAGACACGCGTACAACACGCCAATCGTACTATTTCTCATGGTCCTCCAGTCAGCTAAAAGGTTTTGGGTAGCTTGGGTAGGATCAATACCGAAGTTATCTATTTGTATTTTGGAATACCCGAGTTCTCCTGCCAATCGAACCCAGTTGTTTCTGCTTTTAGGATTTAACGACAGTGCAAGGTCCTCTATGACCAAGGGCTCGTTAGGCAGGTCGCGAAAAAGACGCTCTGTTGAAAGAAAGAAAAAGTGTTGGATAAATCTTTGATTCCTTAGTGCTATTGTACCCTCTTCTTTCAGTTACCGCGCCTCGAGTCCCAGAAAATCCCACAATCCCTTGCCCGACGAGTTCGTTACCAGGAATGGCAAATACCCAGGCCGCAGTCCATATCGCAGCCCATTTGGAATCCGACACTGAATATCAGTAATCAGGAATCGACCTTGTTCGAATTCGTAAAACACCGCTGTGATCCTTGATTACAGACTCATTTACTCAGGGTTAGCCTCGTATCAGTGTCTAAATATTCACAAATACCAGGTAAAGTAAAGAACACGCAACTTCAACAACATAAACTCTTCAGTGAAATTCCACGAACCGTGACTTGAACACGTGAATATTCCGACATAAAATCGAGGCTAACCCTGAGCAACAGAGAATCCCTTCCCCACCCCACCCCCCTCAAACCATCCCATACATACCAGGGTCACGTGGTTTCTCCTCCTGTAGAGATCCCGTGCTGCTTCCTTGAGAGTCCGAGTCACGGCTGCTGTCATTTCTCCTCAGGTGACGTGTGTGACGTCCACGTAACGCACCATGACGTGACTTAGTCAGTGGAGCGACTTTGGATTTGATAGGAATGGCTGGAATAATAAAACATTAAGAAAAGGAATTTAAAATTGATCACTATGAAAGATAAAAATGAAGTCATCTTAAACATAGAGGAGGAGCCTGGGTACTAATTGATTGCGTGGGCCTGGACAAGAACTTTTGGGCGGAATAAGGTAAGTTGGACTTGTTTATGTGGTGCGTGATGTTTTCCCATTACAGACCACATGTCATTCCCTAGAGTATCATTTCTTTGTTTAACGGTTGTGCAGAAGAAGACACATGAATATGGATGCAACTCAAACAACGAATCTAATTCTCAAGGGAATGACACGTGGTTTGAAAGGGGAAAACATTACGCTCAAACTAAATAGGTCTATCTGAGAAAAACAGGCAGGAAAATGAATTGAACCGATTTTTACAGGGTTTGGCAAAAACACAACTCTGTTTTTAGCTTTACTCTTATCGTTCTTCACTTTTTTACAATACAATTCCATTCCATTCTCATCCCAATTTCCATTCCATTCCATTCCCATATTTTACCTTCGTCTATTAGCTATCCACCTCTTTCAGGGGTATTCGCAAGTTACCTTCTTCGCCGTCTGAGTAACGGTGAGCAACTTCAGGCTGTCGTTCGCGAGCCCTTAATCGTTTGTAAACCTTCACGATCAGAAAGATCAACAAGCCTAATATGAAACAGGATACCCCCACTACTAATGGGATTACGAAATCCTTCTTGCTGGCTTCGGTCGCGATCGACGCATCCGTTGTTGAAACTGGACCTAACAAAGGAAAGAAACTAAAGTTAAAGAGGCCCGCACTTAACATAAAATCGCTTAAAATATAATTCAATTTGGCTGAAACTCCACTGGAATAATCGGGGATAATCTTAAAGGTTGAAGTTTTTAAAATTTGATCGTTCTCCCTTCTACAGCGAGTTCGAGTTTAAAACAGAGGCACGAAATTGACAGTAATGTTTTTCTTGTGGTATTAGCCACTCCGAGGTTGAGGACAAGACCGAATCAAGTTGGCATTGCAGTGCGTTGTGGGGCCGTTCTAGAAGACGAAATAGACGCCATCTTGGAAACTCGATGCATTTTTACCTCAATTTGAAAAATTACAAAATGAAAAGTGAAAAATGAAATATGAAATATGAAAATGAAAAATGAAAAATGAAAAATGAAAAATGAAAAATGAAAAATGAAAAATGAAATATGAAAATGAAATATGAAAAATATAAATATAAAAATGAGAAATGAAAAAAAAATGAAAAATGAAAAATGAGTTCTCCAAGAAGTTAGGAGTAGTAACATTTGAAGAAATGAATTAGTACCTTTGGAATTTCTCGTTTTTGTTTGGGTGGCGTGGGTGCTGTTAACATAAGACGGTGTCAGCTGGCACACGGTATCAGTGATGTTGGTACATTTTCTTTTGATACTGTAGCCAGCTGGACACGCCGTGCACGCCTTGCAGGGAATGGAGAAACTTGTTATATTGGAATATGTTTTGCCCTGAAAAGAAACGATGGGGAAGTTATCTTTCTCTTAGAGATTCTAGAGACTAATAGCAGAAGTAGTAGGAGAGGAAGGGGAGAGAGGAAGAGAAGGAAAAGGGAAGAAGAAAGAGAAGAGAGAAGGGGGAGATGAAGAAAGAGGGGCAGAAGAAGTAGGAGAGGAAGGGAAGAAGAAGAAGAAGAAGAAGAAGAAGAAGAAGAAG